ATATACATATATATATATGTATTTCTGTATACATACACACATTTACATGTGTTTTTTTGTTGTAGGGCGGTCCGAGTCTTGAGTGGAATGCTGGGGTTAGGCCTGTGGGGTCTACGATGTCGGATTGTCTTAGTTGGCGCCACAGGAACTTCCTCGTTGTTTGCCGCATTTTGGGTTTCCGCTGTCTTGTAGGGTTTTTCGTAGGGACCTACTGTCTTAGTTCTGTTGGGGTACAAGGACATCCTAAATAAATGGAGGAAGCTATTCATTCAGTTTGCCTCGCTTACGCTGCCCAAGATTCTGCCAGGTTTGCGAGAGAGGCTCACTTCACTTCAGGCGGCCCGGTACCAGAAGTCTCGTAGTGTTGTTCAAGGCTTCGGTCATTGACCTACAAACCCAAGCCCTCAGCCAGAAGCCCTTTTGTGTTAAGAAATGGCAGGTCTTTGATCTCAAGAAGTCAGTACGGCCTCGCGGGGGGTGGAGTTACGGGCTTGAGCCTGCTACAAGTAGCGACTAGCAGAGACTTTGCTTCCGACATGGCGGGAGAATTGGAAAACCCCAACCCCTGATTGTTTTTTCGCAGATGAGCACAGGAAGGGGATACATGCAGAAATCGCTGTAGTAGGAGTCCAAGCATGTGCTGCCTTCGAGATTGTGTACAACAATCCCGACGCCCGTAGATGCCTGATGAATCATACCCCTGTTTCAAGGCTTGAATATTAGGATCCCTGCTATATCACCCTTAAGGGAGGTTAAGCCCTAAACCCTAAACCCTAAAAACCCTAAACCAGTAGAGATTTATCAGTGGTCTACTTTGACTACCCAGAGAGCCCAATACCCCTTAATTGAGGAATATATCTTAAACCATAAGATTAAGGCCCCTATAATTTAAGGTATGTTCCTTATTTAAGGGGTATTGGGCTCTCTGGGTACCTTCCCATGCACCTGCCGAGGTTTCAAAGGCGGCCCTAACAGGTGAGCCGCCTGCGATGCCTTCAGGTAACCCTGCGTGCTTTAATACTTCCTTGGTCAGTGTTCCCAGACAGCCCAATACCCCTTAAAAAAGGAATATTAAGGCCCCTACAACTTAAGGTAACCCTGGTGCTTTAATACTTCTTTGGTCACTGTTGCTGCAAGGCTATTCATGACTGTGTGGGTTTATGGTAGTAAGGGTTTAGGGTTTAGGGTAAGGTAGTACGGTGTTTAGGGTTTCGGGTTTGTGTTTGCAGTAGCTGAGTATATAGAAGCCTAAATACTTACCAACATTCTTCCTCAGGGTTCCTTATTATAAGCACAGCATAATAAACCTCCAAACCCCTAGTCTAATTATTGAGGCCCCTGATCTGCATTTACAGGATACGCCTTATAGCTACCCTTATAGAGCTCTTCAAAGAAGCCCTTAAAGGAACCCTTTAAAGGAACCTAGCTTTTGGCCTGTGCGCTCTTGAGAGCTGGACGTGCTGTGGGAGTTTCGGAGGTGAGCCCCCCTCCCCAAAGCCCCATAGCGGTTTAGGGTTAAGGGTTTAGGGTTTAGGGTGAGGTGTAAGACTTGGGGTTGCAGAGGTTCTTGTACGGTTTCGGGTGCTATTATCATCATTATTTGGTTCGGGGCTGTTTGATATACAAGTTGTACTATAGAACTTATAGAGACATACATATATATCTATGTAACTTGTCTAATAAGTAGACATATATATATATATGTATGTATAACACTTGTATAAAAAAGATAGCTTATATAGCAAAACCAAACATCCCTCAGAGCAAGAGCCAGATCTCAGCACTTTGCATTTGGAGTTCAGGCAGGTCCCGCGAAGCGGTGCCTTGCCTTTGCTCCCTGGACTGTTGCCACCGAGCGCGGAAAAGAAGGGTGTCTGGCGCAGGTCTTAGAAGTCGTAGTTTGTCATATGTAATTATACGGATACTCGCTATTCCTAAGGGCTCCTGAATGTGATTGTGTTATATAACATACCCCCCAAACCCTACTCTAATGACAACGGCACGTACATCCGGTCCCTTACAACCCCAAGCCTCACAAACCTTCAGGGCTAGGGCCTTAGGCTGTGGGTTAGTTTAGGGAAGCCTGAAACTTTGCCGATTCAGCTCGTTCCAGGAGTGAACAACCAAGGAAGACCTCGCCGGTGAATTGCATGGTACCTCTGGTAGTCTTCGTTTGACGTAAGCCCCGGCCACATTGCCAGTGGAAGCGTGCCCCGCAGTAACTTTTTTGCGCTTCGGCAACGAAGACAGTTAACTCCAACCAGGACGACGCGGCGAGCACTTCCAGCAATAACGATGTCATGCGATGTCAGGTCAAGAAAGATCAAGGCAGCCTTATTCCGCGAACTTCGAATTCCTAAAGTCCCTACTGCCCCCCTAAACCCTATACCCTAAACCCCCTATAGCTACACTATACAGACGTATACTCGGTACCCTTTACGCACCGTAAATGACACTAAAACCCTACACCCTCACTGAGTAGGAGTTTCTTGGGTTTAGGGTTTGGAGTTTCTTTGTCCAAACCCGGGATCAATGGCCTCCCCAAATCCTCGGACGTTCAGAAGTTGGGCCCTAAAACCCCCTTGGCCCGGCGGCAGAAGGTAACAATAATCATGATAATGATAATGACAATCATAAGAATAATCACCAGAAGTAACCATGATAGATACCAATATGGTTGATACTTCTAGCGTTCTCACTATGTCAAGAGACCCGAAAGCTCATAACCCTAGCACCCACACTCCAAGCCTACCGCCTGTCCATCGCAGCCGCATTCTTCAAGTTTAAAGGGGAGCGGCCCCACCTGAATCAGAATCCGTCAAGACTATAAAAAATCTCCAGGACTTCGGGTTAAAGCCCACGCGAGGAGCAGGAAGCGATCACTGTACCAGAAAGCAAGGTTTAGCGAGTTCTCCCGATGCACGTCAGAGCTGCTCCGCTGGAGTTCCCC